CGTGAGCCACTGTGCCTGGCCAGAGCTACCTCAGTTTCATGGCCTCTTATTATTTTAACAGATGCATGATTCATTTGTGTCATCAAATATCAACACTTGTTCTAACTTTCTAAATGACAATCCTTAAGGCGTTGACTATTCACTTTTTTATTTGTTTCTTCATTACTTCAAGATAGTTGTTGCAGCACCAGGCATCACATTCTCATACAATTACATTCAAGACCAGAAGAAAAGGGGCAGCTGAAATGGGGATTTATCTTTTATGAAGGAGAAACAGGATGTAGACCCTTATTTTTTACATGGGGATTGTCAAAGATTCTCTCCTTGACCAATGAACTCTAGCCAGACTCCTCAGAGCAAAATTTGTCCTATAAAAACTACACACTCTCAGCACAAATGATGTCATCCACCCCATGCCCCCATATTGAAAGATTTAAACACTAACATAGTTTCTAATAGCTCAAGACGGCATCACTAGGATGACCCTAGAATGACCCTAGGCCGCTTTATTTATTTTGAGTTGGAGTCTCACTCTGTCGCCCAGACTGAAGTGCAGTAGCCTCGACCTGCTGGGCTCTGGCGATCCTTCCACCTCAGCCTTCCGAGTAGCCGGAATTACAGGCATGCGCTACCACTCCCGGCTGATTTTTTGATTTATTGTTGAAATGAGGTCTCGCTGCCCAGGCGGGTCTCGAACCCGCGGGCTCAAGCAATCCACTCACCTCAGCCTCCCAAAGGCGCGGGATTACAGGCTGAGCCACTGAGCCTGGCTAAAATACAAATTTTATTTACTTAACAGTTGTTTCATGGTTTCATTTATAAGTCACTTTTTTCCTTCTCTTTTAAAAAATTATTTAGTGCACATTGTAAGGTATTTTTTTTCTTTTCAATCATTACACTCTTCCTTCAGTACCAATTGTGGAATTACTCTCTCCCCCATTAATTAAAGCTACCTTTATCAGCCGGGCTCGGTGGCTCAGCCTGTAATCCTGCGCCTTTGGGAGGCTGAGGTGAGTGGATTGCCTGTGCCCGTGGGTTCAAGACCCGCCTGGGCAGCGAGACCTCATCTCTACAATAAATCAAAAAAATCAGCCGGGTGTGGTAGCACATGCCTGTAATTCCGGCTACTTGGAAGGCTGAGGTGGAAGGATTGCCGGAGCCCAGCAGGTCGAGGCTGCGGTGGCCGGGAGCGGTCACTGCACTCCAGTCTGGGTGACTGAGTGAGACTCCAACTCAAAAAAAAAAAAAAAAAAAAAAAAGCTACCTTTATCACATTCTAAATTCTTATTAATGCATATTTTATATATTATGTTTTCTGAAGCATCCCCTTCAATCAGCTTATCAGTTCTTATGTTGGTACCAGCACTAAAAGTATAAAACAGATCTAACTGAAAATAATGATACATGGCCCTCTAAGAATTTGTCTTTTGAAACTGCTGGAAACTCACCCTGTCAAAATTCCCTGTGTACCATGTGCCATCACAGAGTGGCTCTCTTACTGAATTTATTCCGTTCCATTTCCTTCTAACCTGGCTCACATCAGCTGCAGAAGTAACTAGCAGTATAGAGAGAGGCCAACGAATGACAAACAAAACACACACTGGTATAAGAAAGAAATTCCAAAACAGAGCACTTAATTATCCTCCATTTAAAAAAAAAAAGTACACACTGTATGATTCTCTCTATGTAACATTTTTTAAACTACAAACTTGGAGAAATGGTGAACAGATTAGTGGTTGCCAGGGAATAGAGTTGGTGTGGGAAGCAAGAGAGAGATCTGTTTGGTGATAAAAGAGCACCAGGAGGGATCTTGTGCTAATGGGAATTTTCTTATTTTGATTGTAGTGGTGGACACTCAAACCTATATGTGATAAAAATTACACAAAAGTAAGTACACACACATACAAATAAGTACACACAAAACTGGGGAAATGGATCCCTACCTCTCACATGTACAAAAAGTAACTCAAGATGGATCAAAGACTTAAATGTAGGACTTGGTACTATAAAAATCCTAGAAAAAGACCTAGGAAACACTTTTCTGTACATCGGCCTAAGCAAAGAATTTATGACAAAGATCTCAAAAGCAATTTCAACAAAAGCAAAAATAGAAAAATGAGACTTAATTAAACTAAAAATCTGCTCAGCAAAAAAAAATAGTCAACAGAGTGAACAGAAAACCTACGGAATGGGAAAAAATATTTGCAAATTATGCCTCAGACATAGGCATAATTAGACATAGTTAGACTCTATAAGGAACTCAAACAACCCAACATGAAAACCAACAACACCATCAAAAAGTGGACAAAAGACAGGAGTTCAAGACAAGCCTGGGCGACATAGCAAGACTTCGTCTCTACAAAAAAAATTTTTTTAATTAGCTGAGTATAATGGTGTGTACCTATAATCCTGGCTACTTGGGAGGCGGAGGCAGGAGGATAGCTTAAGCCTAGGAGTTCGAGGCTGTGGTGAGCCATGATCATGCCACTATACTTCAGCCTGGGTGACAAGAATGAAACTCTGTGTCAAAAAAAAAAAAGGAATTGCTAAATTGTTATTTAACTTGTGTTGAGACATTTTCCTAGAGTTTAGAAAGTCATGCTGGGCTCGGTGGCTCAGCCTGCAATCCTGTGCCTTTGGGAGGCTGAGATGAGTGGATTGCCTGAGCCCGCGGGTTCGAGACCCGCCTGGGCAGCGAGACCTCATCTCTACAATAAATCAAAAAAATTAGCCGGGCTTGGTAGCGTGGGCCTGTAGTTCCAGCTACTTGGAAGGCTGAGGCGGAAGGATCGCCGGAGCCCAGCAGGTCGAGGCTGCGGTGGCTGGGAGCGGCCACTGCACTCCAGTCTGGGCGACAGAGTGAGACTCCAACTCAAAACAAAAAAAAGTCATTTTTTTGGTCTATATTTTCCAAATGTTTCCCTGTATTTTAATTTTATATTCCATAATAGCAGATTAAAATAAATCACAAAGTACAGTCCTCCCAAAAAACTGGGGAAATCTGAATTTGATCAGTGGATTTTTGTTGTTGTTGCTGTTGTTATTGTTACTATCGTCATTGTGATGTTGTTCTGTAGTTTTGCAAAATGTTACCATTGGGAGAAACTAGATAAAGTGTAAGAAATCTCTGTACTATTTTACAACTGCATGTGAATCTATAATTATCTCAATAAAAATTTCCATTGAAAGAAAACAAGGGTTTTTTTCTTGATTATTACCTTCTTTAAGCAACTGATTGAAATTGCAACACAATTGCAATCTACCTAGAGCAGGGCTGACCAGCAGAACTTTCTGCAATGATGGAAATATCCCACATCTCCACTGCCCAATACAGGGACCACTAACTTGTGTGAATGGTGAGCATCTGAAATGTGGATACTGCAACTAAACAACTGAATTGTTTTATTTATTTATGTATTTTTAAATCATAGAGTTATGGGGTACAAGTGATTTACTACATAAGTAGGTTGCATGCAGGTGAAGTTTGGGCTTCTAGCTGGCCCTCTCTTGCTCTGATAGTGGATCAGGTACCCAGTGTGTTGCCATGTGCCCCACCCACCACTCCTCTGCCAGTATCCAGCAGCTGCGGATCCTACTCCATCCCTGAACTCATGTGGGAGGACGGCTTATGAGTGAGAACATGCGGTATTCAGTTCCTTGTTTCTGTGACATTTCATTTATTGTGATGGTCTCCAACTCCAACTTGCTGCAAAGGCCATGATTTTGTTCTTCTTTATAGCTGTGAAATATTCCATCATGTATATGTACAACATTTTCTTCATCCAGTCCACTTTCGATGAGCATCTAGGTTGAAGAACTGAATTTTTAACCGCATTAATTTTTATTCATTTATTTCTTTAGATTGAAAAACATGATTTATTTAGAGAGAGAAAGGAGATTCACCTCCCCAAGGTAGGGGAGGGGGCCAAAGCTAAGAAAATATGATGGCCATAGCTCAAAGAACCACATGACTTGACCAGAGCCTAGCAAAGCAATGGCTACATTAATTTTTATTCATTTAAACGGCCACCTGTGGCTGGTGGCAACCTATTGGAAAGCACAGAAATGAAATTTTGCCTTACACTCCCCAACCCCTTGTTGCAAGCAGTAAGGAAGAACACTCATTTCCCACAAAACTAATTAATAAACTCTGAGGACAGAACGTCTTCATTTTAAAATGGAGGTTTAAAAGGTGCATCCTGATGTGTTATTTCGAATGTAAAATAGGGTTGTGAGGCCCCCTCACAACTGTATTGCAGAACCTGCATACAGATAAATTGATGGCGCTGCAAGCGCCTAAGAGGTGATGATTTAGTACGCTTCCCACCGTTATTAGAAAACCTGGCTAAGAATAAGCCAGTAGCTTTGCTTTCCTATATTTGGGGGGAAATTAACAAAAGCTTCACCCCTGTCATTTCCTTCTAGCTTCTATTACAGCTCTTGCTCGAAAGCTTTCAGTTCTAGCGACATTTTTTAGAATACTGTAAGGGAAATTGGGCACAAATGTCCCATCTCTTCAAGCGCAATTACTAATGCTTCGCCAATCTGGGTGAATACGAAGAAAACCCTTAGAGAACCAGGGATAAAGGAGGGAGGGGCTTGGGTCTAGGCAGGCGGCCAACACGAATGGCTCTGTGCCGCCAGGCGGGCAGCCGCCAGCAGCGCCCAACCTGGGTCTGCAGCCACCGTTGTTGCAGAGCCCAGCGCAGACACAAGCCTGGGAGGTCTCCACACTCCCGGGAAGTTGCGGGGA